TTGCCTCAAAACAAAACTAACAAGCAAGGCATTGCAGTTTTGATAAAAAAATCGATACCCCATAGACAAGTTCCCATTACTTCAAATATTGCCACAATTGCAATAGAAGTTTCACTATCTTTCAAATTTACTATCGTGGCCCTCTATATACTACCTCCTCAAAACTTCACATGCAGCGAACTTAGAAACATTTTGCGATCAATTTCTACTTCATTCGTTATAGTTGGGTACTTAAACGCCTGGAGCCCCCTTTGGGGATCAACTCTTTGCAACAATCGAGGTGCTATCATAGAAGATATGATATTTTCAGAAAATCTCACTTTTCTTAACGACAACAAACCGACTCACTTTTCCACACACAAAACTTTTACCTCTGTTGACCTTACATTATGTTCCTCCAACATCGCCCCTAAACTAACTAGCAATACCCTTCCCCACCTCCACGGCAGCGACCACTTCCCTACTCTTACTATTTTACGCACTCCATCAGTCTTTAAGGCCCATCCCATTCCTAACAGATATAGCGAACTGGGAACAGTTTCAACATACTGCCAGCGACCTTTGCGAAAAATACCCCTATTCGGACAATATCAACAAAGAAGTTAATATAATGACACACATTTATAACCACATTACTCCTCCCATGCAGATTACAATGGATGTGGGTATGCCAGCAGTGCCAACACCAACGGTGAGGTCAGCTATAACTGTGTCACGCCCTGGGGCAACTCCAGCGCCACGAACCCCAGCGGCAACCACCACAGCAACCGCTCCAATAAAGAAGTTGCCACATTTACAAAAATTRTTCGGACTTCTGCTCACCTTTCCATTCCACAATCCTGTAATAAAATCTTTACTAAAACTGTGCTGTGGTCTCCTGAGCTGTCACAATTAAGAAATGTAAAGCGCTTTTATTGGTCGGAATATAAACGGACAAGGTCAAACCAAAATTTAATTATGTATAAAAAGGCTAACGCGATGTTTCATAGGAAAGCAAAACAATCTAAAAGGGACAGCTTGAATAAATTCTCGGAATCTATCAATCAAAAAACATACCCAAAAAAGCATGGCAAATATCTGGAATATACCCGCAATCCCAGTTGATCTCCATAAGTAATGCTAATGGGCCTATCGTCAACGTTATACAACAACATTCTAAATAAAGGTACTTACYMCCAAAYCTGGAAAAACGCTATTATTATCCCCATTCCTAAGTCAAGTAGTCCTGCAACAGAAGCTTCAGGTTTCAGACCCATTTCACTGCTTAGCTGTTTAGGTAAA